CGGCCGCCCGCTTGCCCCGCCGCCTCTTGGTGTAGAAAACCTCTTGCGTCTTCGTCCGGGAGCGTAAGATCATCGACCGCTGGTCCCTCTCCCCTGCCTCTACCGTGTTCCCCTCCAGCGGTGTCGGCCCCGCCGCCTCCTCTGCCGTCACCAAGCCGGGCACCAGGAGGGTGGTATCGCCAGTGTTTTGGACCACCTTGGGGGTCGGCCGGCTGCTGCGCTTCCGGGCTTTGAAAGCCACCCGCTGCTTAACGCCACAGGCGGGCTTCTTCCCTAGCTTCTCCTGGTGCACAGGGGCCTTCAGCCCCTCCAGCGGGGCCGGGGTGCGGGGCTCGGCGAGGGCGGTGAAGGAGCGGGTGCACATGCGTGCCGGCAGACCCTCGGCTGGAAACCGAGGCGTTTGGCTGTGACCGTTCTTGCTCGGTATCTCCGCCTGGCCGTCTGGCCCAAGGCAGGCGCTGGCCACACCGCCGGCTGCCGGCAGGTCATCGAAGGGGCTCGGCACGGCGCTACCGGCGCCGTCCCCCTCTGGCAGCCGGCAGTGGACCCTCTTGTTGCGGAGGCTCTTGCCCCGTGAGACGGGCTCTGTCTTCCCCAGCGCGTTTTCGGGAGCGAGCTGCTGCTTCACCGTGACCAATGGGGCAGATTCAGCATCAGCCACCTCCGGGTGGGACGTCTCCCCTCCGCCGGTCTCCTCCTGGGGCTGGATGTGGGGCAGGGAGGACTTGAACCAGCTCTTCACCTTGGTCTCCGTGCCCACGGCAGGGCCCAGCAGGATGACGGACTGGCCGGAGAGGCGCGCGGTGGGAGCCGAGCTTTCCTTCTCCACCGTGCTGACGGTCTCCTCGGCGGACACGGGCACCTCGCTGGAGGACAGCACGGTGGGCATCTCTGGGGGCTTGGGCGGCGAGGCATCGTACAGCACCGACTTCTGCTCCGAGCCAGCCAGCTCGCAGAGTGAGGAGTACTCCTCCACCTCCAGGTCCGACTCCTTCAGCTCCGGCGAGGAGATGATGGGGATCTCGCTGAAGTCCCCGGTCGAGCAGCAATGCCGGGTGTCCTGCAGCCACCTCTCGCTGTCTGCCTTCGTGGCCTCGTCGTAGGTTAGCGTCTCCTCCTCTTCCTCCTCCATCACCTGCTGACCAAAGTCCCGGCCCGGCTCGCTCTTGGCCGGCTGCTCGCCGTCGCACAGATCCAAGCCACAGGCATTTTTTTTCTCCTTGCAGGAGCCCACCAATTTGCTGGGGAACAAGCCCTTGGGGAGGTCGGTGGCTTGCAGGCCCGAGCCCAGCTCCTTCCACCGCAGGCACGCATCGCCCAGGCTCTCCTCCGGCCACTCGAAGTGCTCCATGGCGTTCTCAGACCCCACCGAGTTGGCGGTGGTGTTCGAGTAGCAGCTGTAGCCGGCGGCCCCCGCGCTCGACGTCGCTGCTGGGATGCTGGGCTTGGAATTGAATGCCAGCGGGGCCGTATCCTTCAGCGCGTCCTTGGTCTCGGCGGCCGTGAACTCCACCTGGGGACCCTCGTACACCTCTTCGCCAAAGTCCTTCCCCGCGCTGGCCCCCGAAGCCTTGTCCAGCTTGAGGGGCTCGGTGAGCGTGCTGGAGTCACCCTGGCTGGGCCAGGCGCCCTTCACCATGGAGTCCAGGCAGGGCCGGTGGTTCTCCAGCTGGAAGGGGGACTTGGTGGCCTCCTTGCTCAGCATGGGCGAGTTGGCCCAGGCTTTGTCCGCCTTCTCGCTGATGGCGTCCTGCAGGACAATTATCTCGGAAGCCAGCTCCTCCTGGGACAGGGCGCTGAGGAGCAGTCGGGGACAGTCCCGTTCGTTGGTCACGTACTTGGTGAAGGTCTCCAGGGGCAGGCTGGCATGGATGCTCTGGAAGGAGTCGTCCGATTTGGTGGACATGTCGTCCGGGGAGGTCACGGAGCAGGTGGAAACCGACTCGGGCTTCGCCTTGGAGTTGCTGTTGACGCGGGCAGGGCTGCGGTTCTGGTTGCAGTACAGGAAACTCCTCTCCAGCTGGTCCTCCGACCCACTGAGATAGTCGGCATCCTGCGTCTCGGCGTGGACAGACTGGGGCGTGCTGAGTGGGGCTGGCGTGGATGCTCTGGAAGGAGTCGTCCGATTTGGTGGACATGTCGTCCGGGGAGGTCACGGAGCAGGTGGAAACCGACTCGGGCTTCGCCTTGGAGTTGCTGTTGACGCGGGCAGGGCTGCGGTTCTGGTTGCAGTACAGGAAACTCAGCTGCAGCTGGTCCTCCGACCCACTGAGATAGTCGGCATCCTGCGCGTGGACAGACTGGGGCGTGCTGAGTGGGTCGGACAGGGGGGTCCCCACCTGCTCCGCCGAGTAGGTGCTGCTCTCGGGGCTGCAGTGCTGCCCCTTGAGCTGCTCAGGGGTCCTCGCCGGGGTCTTGATGCCCTTTTTCTGGGGCACGGCTGCTTTGGAGAGCAGCAGCTGCTGGACGGTATTGGAGATGTTCTCCACCTGGGAGGTGAGCGCCGTCAGGCTCTGCAGGCTCAGGTCCGACAGCAGGTTTTCAGGCAGCTTCTCCTTCTGCAAGTTTTTGCAGTTCCCGGATTGAGCGTCGGGGCTCGTCCCATCGGTGGGAGAAGGGTTCAGCAGCGGCATGAAATGGCTGTGGTCGGCGATGCCGGTCGGGAAGGGGCCGGCGCTCAGCGGCTGCTGGCTGTACTGGAAGTTCTCCAGGTTGGGCATCAGCGGGGAGGGAGTGGAGCTGTAGGACGGAGACCTGCCGACGGAGCGAGCCGGCGAGTGGCTGGCGCTGGGGCTGAAGGTCTGGTAGTACTGCTCCGGCGTCCGGACGGGCGGTGCGTCGCCCTGGCAGTAGGTCTGGCCCGGCTGGTTGTAATGTTGGTACTTGGCCAGGTTTTGGTAGTGGAGGGTCTCCGGGGCGTGATGCCGCCCCTGCAAGGTCTGCGGCGGCTGCGGGGGCTGCGGCGG